CATGCTCCTGCTTGGTACATGCATTACATTCGCATTTGTGGCCAGCACTCTTGCAGGGTCGCGCCCTGCCCAGTCCTGCCCTGTCGACCTCCCATCTTCCTCATCCCAACACGCAGAAGCACCCCGGGCGATTGAAACCTCGTCTGGTTGAAGCGCATCCTGCATCCTGTCCTGTTGTTTCCGTTTTGGGCTTGGAAGGCCGATGTTTCCGGGGGCCGCAAGCCCCAAGCCAGAAACCATGCGCAGCAGCTGTTGCCGAAACCAAAACCGTCAAGGCCCAGGACCGGGAACAAACATGCGACCTACCTCTACTAGCTTCATAGAGAGAGGGTCTCAGCTGCAGAAAAGAAGCAGATGAATGCCTCTCAATACCCTGAAACCGCTTCCAGGTTGTTGCTCATTGAGGGTGGTCCTCACAAAGGCAATGCAATTCGCCCGAGCAAAACACCGAAGTTCGCGCCACTTGCGACACGGGTTCGATTGCGCCTCACAGTCAGCGGAATGGACTGCAGCGTCGTGGAGCGGCTCAGGATTTCTGGCCGCCGCAGCCCAACATAGCCCAATCACTCAACTTGCAGTCAGAGAGGCCTAGTCATGCCCCTATGTCCCTAGTTCACCTGTCATGCCAGCTGACTGGGCTGTTCGTCAGCTCCAGCCAGAAGGTTCGGTATCTTGGACGAGGAAGATGATGCACCTCTGTGTTCCAATCTGCAGGTCCGGCTTGTGATTGTTTTCAAGTGAACGTCGAGAGGAAACCAGCAAGGACTGAAGTCACCTGTAGCCTTGCCCATTTCTGTCGACCCTCACGGGGCAGGAACCCATACGGTCACTGAGTCAAACATGCTTCCTCAAAGCATGTGATGCGGAAATCTCCCTTATCTCACTTCCTGAGTGGATGGCCCAACAAAAATGGGTCCGAGCACTTCTTGCTTGCAGCTAAAATGGTCCGAGCCCGAAAAGTTTCAAGTCCAGGAACTCAGGAAGTAAGCAATACGAAAATCTCTAACTCCAAAGCGACCCTCAAGCCTACGCTCCGCGCATCTGGCCTCCCATGCGGAGGCTACTGATGCTCGAGGACTTCTTCATGGCCTGGGCGAGCTGGGCTCTCGCCCAGGCAACCTCCCACTGACAAGGCACAAGGGTTCTACTCTTCCATTTGGTTAATTCCAGTAATGAATTCCCTTTAAGACCAACAAGGGAAAATAAACAAAATACTCTTCAGCAAATGGAAGTACTGTTTGACTACTCGGGGAGCGGATACGGAAAGAGGTATGAGATGGATGTGCCTCTCATGAAATCACGTCCAGCATCGCACCGAACATGCGAGAAGAGGCATGGGTCTAACAGTGTCAAACGAAGGGGACCCTGCTTGGCCGATCTTAGAAGTAATTCCCCAAATCACCAATTATTTGGGGTGAAGCGTTGCTTCACAATTCGCCCGACAAATGTCAGGAGGGCCATACGGGTCATTTGGAGGACTAAGGCGCGGACTAATATCAACTACGCCGAGAGAAACTCCTACCTTCCCAGCATGGCTGTTGTGGCGTCCTAAAAGAAGGCGAGCCCCTAGACTGTCCAAAATCGACGCGGAAAAGACGCTACCCATCACCAGCAATTCATACAGAACAGCTAGTTGAACAATGTGCAAGAGCCTTTCTCAGTTGTCGAAACGACACCGAAACAAAAGGTTAACTTTTTGAACCTTGGAACCTAAAATTTGACTGAACAGCGGAACTAAATCGCGAACAGGTTGACTTTGCGTGTCAAAACACTAAATGCTGTGTCGGAGCGTTGGTCCCCGAAAATTATTGTTTTCTTTGGGGGTCTCTTTAAACCAACAAAAGCGCCCAAATGCACACATGTAGAAACGCTCAGGGTCTGATCCATGTCATAAAAACTCATATCTGAAAAACACACACATATAACTCTACGAGATATTATACTATATAGTATCCTATGATCTATCATATTATACTATGTGATGCCATGTTCTACTATATTATATCATATGGTATATGCTATATCTATGTGTGTATATATATATATATGTATACAACACTCAGGTTGCTTCCATTCGCCCAATGCATTTCGCAGGGCTCCGGGCGGAGCCCTTGGTCTTTTTCGGCTCCTCGCCTGCGCTCGAGTCACTCCATCCCCCCACCTATTTCTGGGGGGGGGGGGGTGGAAGGTCCGGAACCCCAGTCCCATGAAAGCAAAATGGGGGGCGGGGGGGTTCTCCCAAAATGGAAGCTGAAAACCGGGGTGTGAACTCTTTTTGAACTCTAAAAAATCATAGCCACGAGCGAACCAGTTGCAAAGCAAGTTTTGGGGACACACGTTTCCCTGCTGCAACCTACGAAACCAATAAGAACGCATAGGGTAGCAAGGACCAACATGGACCGGGCTGGGGCTACACGGTCTTGACATACCGCTTGACAGTCACTTTTACATACCACGTGGGCGGTGCCGTGTTGCCTAGATTGGAACACATGGCCATGGGTCAAAATCCAAATCGTACCCCCAGTGAACATCCCAATCCAACCACTAAACTAGGTTCTACAATGGGAGGTGCACCTACCCCAAAATGGGATCCCATTAGTTTTGACCCACAGCCACATGTGAACTAAGCACAACTTGCTTGGGTTGGTACGCAAATGGGACAACCCCCCGCATAGCAAGGTTGGGAACCTAATCTTGATACCCATGTGGTTTGGTTGTGAGTGCTAGGAGCGAACACGGGGAGCCAAGGACGTCCACGGGGAGCAAATCATGAAATGATGGTCTTGGTCGACACTCAGAATTGCACTTGCCGACAAGTCCATTCCTCCAAGCAAACAGCAAGCAGGCAACAAATCAACACGCAAAAGAATGGCAGCTACATGTTCCTCCTAAAAGTGCACCAAGCAAGAATGACCAAGAATGACCAGGCACGAATGGCCAACTGCATCTGCTTCTTCCAAAATAAGAGGGTTTGTGTCGAGATATAAAACATGTACAACAGCTACAACAGCCCAATTACTGTTTCAGCTGGTTTCCAAGTCAAACAGAAGCTCCAGGAGGGAAGCGCAATCCGCTTGAACATCCAGCTCCACTTCCACTGGCAAAAGGGTAGCCCTTTGTGCGATGCCAAGGCTAAAGTGGCTGACCTGCTAGGTTTACGGGCCAAGAAAGTTTTTAAACTTTCCAGCACTTCACTATGGCAAAGAAAGCAGCCGACAAATCGAAGTTCGGGTACGTCAAAGGGGGGACACCTAGAAATTGCCCTTTCAATCCATGTGAAAATGGCTCCCTCAAAAACCCACGCCCAGCCAGCTTTCAACCCAACACCCGGTGCCTAGCTCTGCAAGAGCATTGGCCGCCGCCTCGTCGAGCTCTTGCAGACTACTGGCGCCGGAAGTGGTGAGTCAGGTTTCGTGCCGCGGAAAAGACGTGAAAATGCGGGGAGATGCGAGCGGGGATGCCAGGGATGCTGGCGATGCCAAGTGTGCTGCTGGGAACACATTTTAGCTGGTGTAGTTTGTTGGTCAAACACAAAAATGGTACCGTATGCGTGCTTTTCTCTACGGGATGCTTTTATCGTCCAAGTGGGGTGGCGACCGTGCTCAGGCTTTGCCTCACCCAGTGAATTTCCGTCAGGGAAAGGTCAGAAGTCCACGCAGGGGGGAAGCAATAGCTTGATGCCGGCGACCACAACACCCACAGGCGCCCTTTTTGCCCATGGACCCTGCCAGCCCAAAAAAAACAAGGGCAGTCAATGCCCACCACATCCGGCATTCTCTGCAAATACTGCAAAAAGAGTCGCTTCCCTTGGACAAACCGCACCAAACGGAACGGGCAACCTTCAACAAGGAGACGTGCCATCTTAGCAGCTCTTCATTTTTGGCTGCTCCAGGCTCCAGGCCCATGAGAGAAAATGTGCCCACAACAGCCTTCTAATTGATATATATATATATATATGTATAATATTATAATATGTATGTATGTACATGTATACATGTATATTATGGTTTTTGATGCCTCCACCAAAAAGTGAACATCTTGACACCATCAACCATGATGAAGTAGTGACCAACACTAGCAAAGAATTCGGGCAAAATCGAGTCGGCTCGGGACACCTAAGTAAAATTGGCTCAAGGGTTCGTTTCTCAGTGACTTGCTTCTGCAACAAACAAAAGCTCTCGTTTGAGACACGCTTCCAACTACCGTATCTCCTTGGTCGCTCTTCCCCCTCGTGTCAAATGTGCCTGGAGCGAGTTGACTCTGATGACTGACTCATGGCCTTGCAACGGGGCGTTTCAGAGCTGGCTGTTCAGCTTGAACCAGGCCATTGTGCACGTGCGCTGGTTGCTGGGGTCTCGCCAAGGTGAATGCAAAGGTGTGCATGCTGTGCACAGGCTCAGCAGTTCTAAAAGGCAAACTTTATTCAAGCTCAGCCAGCAACATCATGCAGGTCCAACTAGGCCAAGAGTGCTTCATGCACTGCAACCTGTTTGATCAGCTTGGCAGGGCACCTGGCTAGGTGGCTAACACGGGGGATTGGAAAATATCTGTTGTGGCCTTCTCCGGAGAATCCAGAGGTCTGCAAACGGGGCATTCAAAGCAGGAAAATGCCTCTTATCCTTAGCGGGAAAAACCAAAGGCCATCCAAAATGGCCGACTGCTTGACCAACGCCGACGCGGAACAAGGCCAACACAAACAAGGGAGGCTAAACTTTGGTTTGTGCAGGACCAACTTCTGGAAAGCTGAAGTACGGCAATGTATTGAGACATCAACAGACGCTTTGATCCAAGGGCAAGATACACCCTTTACCATCCCCCAACAAACCCTTGTGGTTCGCCCGCAAAAGGTCATGGTGCGTGGGCTCCCCCTATGTTCCCCCCAAACTAACCGTAGACCAAGAATGAGTTTGTCAGTGACTTACGTGACTCGGAATGGATCTTTCAGTCAGACCCGCGTCTCTTTCACGGCCCCAGACTCGCCCCAAAGCTCAGCATGGCGCCAGCTCGAACTTTTTGATGATGCCGCGGATGGGCATCTGGCGAGCAACGCACGGCGTCGCTTCGTTTCGTTCCACCGGGGTTGAAGGAGGGCGTCTTCTCAGCCACGTCAGCGGGAAAACATGAAACGGAATGCATGACAGTCGCCTTGTTCTGGCAGCTTCTCCAAAATGCTCACAAACAAAGAGCGCCGGGTGAGCGGTCGCTGAACCACCATCACTCTTGATTCAGTTTTCAGGGTGCCTAATTTGCAGGCCACCCAACATGTTGCAAAATCACCCACAAACTGTTACACATTACAGGCAAACCCACTCCGCCCCTCTTTCTCTCTCTGTCTCTCTCTCTCTCTCTCTCTCTCTCTCTCGCTCTTGCTCTTATATTGCTTCTATGATGATGGCTCTTGGAATGGGACAGGGATTAAAGGGTCCCTGGAACGCAGGTGCGCGAAAACGGTAACGAAATAACAGTAAGCGCCGTTGGGGCTGTGCTACACTCACGCCGGCAATCGTTGGGCAGGGCATGTGGCGGGGTGCTTCTCAGGCGTGCCATGTAATTACACTCAGGGTCCACTTGTAGGCACGTTACTTGCGGATGGGAATGTTGACCCCGGATTAATATACCCCGGCTTGTCAATAGGGGGTGTTCCCCTCCAATAGTGATAATTCCCCATTAAACCCGGGGACACCCCCCTAGTCATAAACTCGAGTTTATTAATATGGGGTCGTAAGTGTGCAGCTAACAAACAGGATGCAAGCAGCATGCCCGCCCGCAAGTCAAGCGCCGTCGCACGTGATATGAAGCAACGTGACAAACCCCGCTATGCCGGCTCGGAAGTGAAGACCCGTTTTGGTAAGCCTGGTAAGTAATACACCCTCGCAAGTCACAAGCTGTAATTCAGCTACCAGCGCACACAAGCAACAAGCGAAACTGTATCCCCGCCACCCACCGCTGCCAGAAAATGACAGGTTTGCCTGTAACGTGTGCGCATGCGATGTGTGTGTGTGTGTGTGTGTGTGTGTGTGTGTCTGTGTGTCTGTGTGTCTGTGTGTCTGTGTGTCTGTGTGTCTGTGTGTCTGTGTGTCTGTGTGTCTGTGTGCCTGTGTGTCTGTGTGTCCGTGTGTCTGTGTGTCTGTGTGTCTGTGTGTCTGTGTGTCTGTGTGTCTGTGTGTCTGTGTGTCTGTGTGTCTGTGTGTGTGCGTCTGTGTGTCTGTGTGTCTGTGTGTCTGTGTGTCTGTGTGTCTGTGTGTCTGTGTGTCTGTGTGTCTGTGTCTCTGTGTGTCTGTGTGTCTGTGTGTCTGTGTGTCTGTGTGTCTGTGTGTCTGTGTGTCTGTGTATCTGTGTGTCTGTGTGTCTGTGTGTCTGTGTGTCTGTGTGTCTGTGTGTCTGTGTGTCTGTGTGTCTGTGCGTGCGTGTGTATCACTGTTTTTTTTGGGTAAGGGTATTTCCTAAGTACCGCATCTTGGCAAGTAAGCAAAAGGGCGACACGCCCTGCATATGACTAATGACCACCCTTTCCCCTCGTAGGTCACGCATCCGCGATTGCCAGTAGCCTGCACAACTTGCTAAGTTACATACCTCGGCCGTGAGCAACATGCCGCGTAGTGGCATACCGAAGTCGGATGAGACATATTCCAAACATGTTGCATCAAAGAGTAGCGATTGCACCTCGTAACTGCCAGGTCTTTTTTTTATCAACACACTTGCACTACCGCACCCCGCCTGTAAGCAGCATGCACACCATTGGATGTAGGATACCCCGTCCGTAAAACATTAAGTGAGTAGAGTGCAGCAACATCCCCGCCCCTAAGTAACTGACCCGGCCATTTCGGCCATTCCGCCCTATTCAGTATGTTCTTAAGTGAAGGGAAGAAAGTCAGTAGGCACGCAAGCTTCCACTCCACACAAGACCCCGTCTGTTTAAACAAGGGTTGCGTCCATTGGTAGTACACCTTTGCCACACACAATGCGGGCGCGACATCTGCCAACCAGCTTCCCCCAAGCGGCGATCAAACATGGTGTGCGCGCTTGCCGTTTCACACGCGCAGGCTCGAAATGTGCCGACCCGCATCTCCCAAGCTGCATGAAACGATCATAACATGCTGCGCGCTTGCCGTTTGATCCGCACGGATGCGAAATCTGCTGGCCAGCTTCCCCGCTCGAACACGCTCGTCTGTTACCGATTTACCCGTACCATTCCCTACCGGGCAGGAAACGATCGGCTGTCTTTCTTATCGTTTTACCCGGCGGTGGCTGAACTTGCCGACCGCCGAAGGGAGGCGAAGCAAGGATTAGCACACAAAAGGCTTGCCTGGCGCAACACAAATCCACGTGCGTCAGTATTACCTCAGCCCTTTGCCTGGGCCGACCGAGCGGTCATCAAGGCTAGGGAAGCTTGAGGGACCTACTGCAAGGGTACCCCAGCGCCCAGGGATCCGCGACATCAACAAACCAATTATTTGGAGCCCAGTGCCAGCAAGGCGTAGCGCGCAAACGCATGTCAAATACAATCGCCTAAAACAACACACAAAGACCAAAGTACCCGGCTCGCTCGCTCAAAACCAGTAAACAAACAACCACCTACACAGAAACTCGCGTGTGCTTTGGGTCCTGCGCTCTGAGCGAGACATTGGCAGGAGCCAGGCAAGGCCTGTCCTTCTTTGTAGCTTGCGTGCAACACTGCTTACGAATGCTTACGAGCGGCATACCCCGCCCACAAGTAACGTGCACACCTAAACCCCCCCCCTGCTTCGCCCTGCCAAACAAGGTGGCAAGCAGGAGGAAGAACTAATGCTTGCGTCGGCCAACTTAATTTTATCATAATATACGATTACATTGGCCGAGGTTGCAAGTGACAAGACCCTTGCGGCAATCTCATGCAATATTGTCCCTGGGGACACGCACACACACACACAGGCCCATGGGTCAAAAGCCCGTACTACCCGTGAACATCCCAATCCCCACTAAAATCGACTAAAATGGGTGATGAATTCACCTACGTTTCCGTCCCCCAAACCTTTGTCGCAAGACTCTGACTTCCGTTGCCTCGCTGTAGGCCTTCTGCATCTTGGGGCTGGACTCCTGACGGGAATTCCCGGGCAGCGAGTGCCTTGCGCCGAAATACCATGCACCTGTTGCCGGTTATTGGGTAAACCTTGAATCTCCAAAAAAGTTCGAGAATTTGGGAGGTGAAAAGAAGGTGAAACACCGAGGTCAACGACGTTAGTTGGCTAGATCCACGTCAAAGCCACGTGAAAGGCTTCTGGCAGTGTAGGCCATCCGTGTTTGCGTTGTTTGTCGGTGTGAAATCGCAGCTTAGCTTTGAACAAGCGTTTCAAAGCCAGCTAGCTGACATCACAAAACCGTGTCGGATAATGGCAGCGCACAGGCGCATGCCAAGACTTTGTGTTGGAGCTCTACAGCCAACCTGTCCATGGAAGCTGGGCCTACCGCTGTTATTCGGGTCAAAACGAAATTGATCGCCTCTGATACACTCATTGCCCAAAGGACCGGTAAATGAAAAGGTCAGCCTTTCGCGACCTTGAGCAAACATGAGCCAAATTCGGAACACAAACAAGTCAATGGCTGAGTTTACTCAGCTCTTCCCTCGGCAGAACATCGACGACCGACTCTGCCCGTCCTCAGACTCAGGTTGCGACAGCACCTTCACCATCCTGAAGGGTGGGGCGGGTGGGCACTTCCATGTCTGCGGGATGGCATTCCTTTTGGGGAAGTGTCTCGTTCAAGTCTAGTGAACCGCATCCAATCAAAGGATCCCAACTCCCCTATCCGAGCCCCCCCCAAATTGCAAATTCTCAGTAAGACTCGAGAAGCATTCGTGAGCAGCGTGTTCTTTTCACACACTAGCTGTGTTTGAGCAGCTTGGCAGACGCCTTGCTGAGCGATGCTTAGCCTTACTGATCCTTACCGAGACTCACTCAACATGAAGGGTTTGGAGCGTTGCTACGGCTTAGAAATTCCTACCAAGCCCTGGCAAGCTTTGGCACAATCCTTGGCAAGCATTGATTGGCTCTAGCGAGGGGCTTGGGTAGGGGGGGTAGGGACTGTATGATCCAAGATCAATGTGGTGCAAGTCGGTACGAGATGGCAAGGCAAAACACCGTGGAACGCATGCTGAATGGTGTGACGAAGCAAACCCCAGTTTTCCTTGCATGTGGGCCATCTGGGCGTGTCTTTTACTCTGTATACCCCAAAAAGGTGCGGTAACCTCAAAAAGGGATGAGCCATGGACGTGAGAGCAATGCTCCAGCCTTGAAGTTGGGCTCCCCGGATTCTGCTTCGGACTGGAGCCTGGCATGGAGCCCATAGACACGACCCTTTGACTACACATGACCCACCCCACCACACACACACACACACACACACCACGGCCTATGCATCACAAAACAGGAACGTGGAAGTCAACTCTTCCAAAAGTGGATGATTTTCATGTGCAACCGGGCAACTCTCATTCTTTGCAGATGTGAGCATGTAGCCGGACACTGTGTGGCAAATGTTCGCGGTATGTTTCTCACTGTTCCTCTTTCTGGACTCAGGTCATGACACATGCGAATCAGCCAAATCAGCAGCACCTGTGCACACACCAACCGCTACCACACCAAAGGATAGATGCGCAAGCATCAAGTGAAACGTGTACCCATGCCTTGAACAACAGACCCTGTTTTCCAACATCAGCCAGGTAATTTGTTTCGCACTTTAGGGGTCCAATATCTCTGTCAATTGAGCGTTGTCAAGGAGCGTCAATTGAAATGGCTGGAAAGAACCCTCTTGCCGTCATAGAAGCTGAAGTTGGAAGACTTCCAAATCAAAGGCATGTGTGTGTGTAGTCTTTGTGACAGGCTCGAAATACGTTGAAAAGGCATGAGCTAAAATCAAAGTGAGCAAACTTGGACAACTTGCCGGGGGAAGCAAGGTACGGGCCATGGTCGAACCTCAGTTCCCAATTTGGTGCTGTGTACCCAATGTCCCCTTTAGCCCAACTCTAGGGTACACCAACAGCAAATCAAAACCAACTATGTTCAGATTCTGGCCCATGTTTCGTTGACAAAATATAGACAATCCAATTTTGGAGGAGACCATCCAGAGGATGGCACAGGACAGGCCCTCGCAAGCTGAAGACGCCTGCACCCTGGGCGTGCGCTGGGTGCATGTGCGGCAGGCTCCGCACAGCCTGACATTTTTGCGTTGATTCGGCAGAAACACAAAGCAACCAGAAAAAAAACAGACAGAGGGGGAGTCAAAAACAAAGGAATGCGTGAAAGAATGAATCAAACGATGGGATGACTTGAGAAGGGGAGACACGAAAGGTAGCATACCGTAAAATGGTCCCCCTAATGTGTCGTAAAGTGGCTTCCCCTAATGCGTGCTCTAAAAAGAAAGGAAGAGGCTTGCATCGAGTCCAAAGTGTGAAGCGAACCGAGCGAAAAGAGCGGAAAAAGGAGCGAAGCTGCTAATCAGGCATGCAGGGGGGGGGGCTGAGGGCGGACCAGGGGGAGTCGAAGGGGGGAGCGGGGGGGAGGGCCGACCCGCAGACCCCTCAGTCTAGCCTTGCTAACGCAAGCCTCCCGGAGGCCACCTTTCGTGAAATGGAATGCAATAAATGAACGAAAGAAGAGACAGAGGGAAAAAGAGAAAACAACAAAGAGGAAATGCAAAAAAAACACAAACAAAATCTGGCACATTGTGGTCTGCCGTTCCAATGCAGATTCGGCAAACCTAAACTAGGACGGGGTACCGACTGGTTGGCTCAACATATTTGGTAAGTGATTAGCTAGTTTCGTTTGCGCACAAACAAAAGCCACACATCAAAGTAAAGAAACAAACAAGCTCGCAGTACACAAAACCCCGCAGAAAATCTTGAGCGCACGCCACGCTCGGGTTGCTTGAGTCTCCTTTCCTGCGATGTTATACGTAACCCCAAGGCAAATGGGAGTTTCTCAAAATGGTGGATCACCTTTTAGTTGGTATTTCAACAGGAAACCAAAAGAACCCTTTTTGAGAAACACGCATATGGAACCAGAGCCCTGAAAATATGATTTTGAAGGCCAGAGTTTGGCTGAGGGGTTGTCAGGGACCTCTATTTTGCGAAACACCGATCTGACACGACCCCACTTAAGGGCACTTGGCGAGTTTTCGCCAGTCGCAGCCTGCATGGGCAGTTGCCCTGGCAAAGGCGTGGGTCCTGCTAAGCTACGCGTCGACGGGAGAAAGGCCAAAAGCCGACTAGACGGGTGTGCCTTTTTTTTGAGGGTACCCCTTTTTCGGTGCTTTCAAAGGGAAACCAATGGGAACACCACAATGCTTGGGTAAAAAAGACACACTCAGACCAAGCAACATCGAAACGTATCAGAAAACGTCTCAGCAAGTTCACATCAAGGTCTTTGTAGTTTACAGGGCGGTGGGAAATGGGCTTGCGAGGGCTCCGCTTCTCCTGCGTGCGACTTCTGCCGAACCCAATGGCAGCATTTGTCAAGATGAAGATCAGATCTGCAGGTGTTGGAGTACCCAGCGAGTCAAAAGGCCTCTGTGAGTCAAAGGCACATGTGTATGTGTGTCAAGGCTTCAAGCACCGATGCGGTTGAATTGACAGCGCAGCTGATGAGGCCAGCAAGCTTCGAATGATCCACTGACTGGTCGCAACATATTTCGTGCCCTGGAGCGAAACTCCTGTGGGTCATGGTCATGGATCCCTCAATAGGAACATGGTTGTTGTTCACTCAGGGGTGTTGACCATGGCACATAGATTTCTCTAAGAATTGATCAGACGTGTCTTCAGAAAATATCAGCCAACCCGGTACTGAAGTTCAGGGGAGCGTACCACAAGCAAACGTTTGCTGTGACTTGGACATCTCGGAAGCTGGGGCTTGTGTTTGGCATTCACATACTCTTCGGGAAGTACCATTGATATTCCTGTTGTGATGCTTGACACACTTATTTGCTGAATTTAACAGGTTACGCGCTGCTCTCGTTGCTTCTTGCTTACAAATCATGGACTAAACCACCCCCTTCGACATCAGCACGGGGCTGCATTTCTGGGCTCCTACCAGTCTTTGCTCCAGCCATGTTGGTTGAGCTTTGGCTGAGGGCTCGCTTCATCCCAAACCATGGGCCTCGGGAATGTGCCCAGAGCTTTGGGCAACATGCATTCCAAACAAAAAGTGGAGTGGAAAAACAAAGTCACCGTAAAAAAGTGCGGAAACCCTTCCTGAAAGAATTAAGATTCCCGTCCCCATGACTACGTTGTCACAGGTGGACATCACAAAGAATAGTGCTAAGCTCTACTTCTCACAACCAAGACCGTAAAATAGGGGCAAGATTCTGTTTTTTCTTCCCCACTCGTTGAGTCCGCCTGCCCTAAAGTCCACACCTTGCTAAAGGACCCACGTGGGTGTCCTTTTTGCAGGGTTCCCCTATTTTTGTGGGTTTTGAAGGTGAACAAAGCCAAAAGGAACTGCAACATTTGGTGGGTCTTCGAAAAAAAAGCT